TGACACACGTCCGGTGATGTCAGGGGGTGTGGCATATGCTAATGAGTTATGCTAATGACTTCCCCTAGCTCTTTTTCTACAAAACGACCCCTGGCCATAGGTATAGCCATATCACCTCCACAACATATTCTGGTAACAGCGATTTTGTAGGTCTGAATGTGTGTCCCTCCATCAACCTTTGTGTCAAGTAGAATTTCCTTTTGTCCATCCTGAACCTACTGCCCATGAACTTCATTGGATAACCTTGGTAGTTTGTACAGCTGGGTACCCGTTCAGTAGAGAATTTTCTCCCCTTAGCCCTTTGGATGTAGCTTTTGGCCATCTGGTTGATCGCTAGCTAATGGACAGGCGTCTCTCTCTCTCTCTCTGTCGCTCTCCTAGAATGCGAGAGTGGTGGATCCAGGTGGGCCTGCTGACCGTGCCCCTCATCGCCGTCTACCTGCACATCCCGCCTCCCAAGTTATCTCCGGCTCTCCACTCATGGAGGTCCTCGGGAAAGTATTTCACTTACAAGAAACAGAACATCTTCTACAGGGGTACGTTCAGAACTCTCTCCCCAAAATGTCTGCAGTAATGCTGGAAAGAAGGGGGCGGGGGGGGGGGGCTCACCCGGGCTGCCAAATTCCCCCCCCCCCCAGGTCTGAAACTGATGGTTGAATCAATCGACCGTCTCGGTGTGTGTCACAGAGTGCGTAACAATTCCTGTGGCTAGCCGTGTCGGTCTGCAGAAGAAGAGCTGAATTCGAGTCTAGTAGCGTCTTGGAAACAAGCAAGATTTTGAGGGTTTGCGCTTTCGAGAGTCAAAGGTCCTTTCGTTGGTTGTCCAAGGGGTTGCTGGGTTCATGAATCTGGCCTATACTGAATCGGACCCTTGGACAATCAAACTCAGTATTGTCTACTCAGACCTGCAGCGGCTCTCCAAGGGTCATAAGAACATAAGAGAAGCCAATGTTGGATCAGGCCAATGGCCCTTCCAGTCCAACATTCTGTGTCACACAGTGGCCAAAACCCAGAGGCCCTCAGGAGGTCCACCAGTGCGGCCAGAACTCCAGAAGCCCTCCCACTGTTGCCCCCCAAGCACCAAGAAGACAGAGCATCACTGCCCCAGATGGAGTCTCAGACAGGTCTTTCCCATCACCTCCTGCCTGGTCCTTTTTAACTGGAGATGCCGGGGATTGAACCTGGGACCTTCTGCATGCCAAGCAGAGGCTCTGCCACTGAGCCACGGCCTTACAGCTCTCCAGGGTCTCAGGCGGAGGTCTTTCCCATCACCTCCTGCCTGGTCCTTTTTAACTGGAGATGCCGGGGATTGAACCTGGGACCTTCTGCATGCCAAGCAGAGGCTCTGCCACTGAGCCACGGCCCCTCTTTACAGCTCTCCAGGGTCTCAGGCTGAGGTCTTTCCCGTCACCTCCTGCCTGGTCCTTTTTAAACTGGAGATGTCGGGGGATTGAACCCCGGGCCCTTCCGCATGCCAAGCGGATGCTCTGCCAAAATGAGCCGTGAACCTTGACCTGAATAGATCTGTTACATCTTGGTCCATCAAGCTCTGTAATTGCCTACTCAGACTGGCAGCCGCTCTCCAGGGTCTCAGGCGGAGGTCTTTCCCATCACCTCCTGCCTGGTCCTTTTTAACTGGAGATGCCGGGGATTGAACCTGGGACCTTCTGCATGCCAAGCAGAGGCTCTGCCACTGAGCCACGGCCCCTCTTTACAGCTCTCCAGGGTCTCAGGCGGAGGTCTTTCCCATCACCTCCTGCCTGGTCCTTTTTAGCTGGAGATGCTCGGGATTGAACCTGGGACCTTCTGCATGCCAAGCAGAGGCTCTGCCACTGAGCCACGGCCCCTCTTTACAGCTCTCCAGGGTCTCAGGCGGAGGTCTTTCCCATCACCTCCTGCCTGGTCCTTTTTAGCTGGAGATGCTCGGGATTGAACCTGGGACCTTCTGCATGCCAAGCAGAGGCTCTGCCACTGAGCCACGGCCCCTCTTTACAGCTCTCCAGGGTCTCAGGCTGAGGTCTTTCCCATCACCTCCTGCCTGGTCCTTTTTAGCTGGAGATGCTCGGGACTGAACCTGGGACCTTCTGCATGCCAAGCAGAGGCTCTGCCACTGAGCCACGGCCCCTCTTTACAGCTCTCCAGGGTCTCAGGCTGAGGTCTTTCCCATCACCTCCTGCCTGGTCCTTTTTAGCTGGAGATGCTCGGGATTGAACCTGGGACCTTCTGTATGCCAAGCAGAGGCTCTGCCACTGAGCCACGGCCCCTCTTCACAGCTCTCCAGGGTCTCAGGCGGAGGTCTTTCCCATCACCTGCCTGGTCCCTTTTAACTGGAGATGCCGGGGATTGAACCTGGGACCTTCTGCATGCCAAGCAGAGGCTCTGCCACTGAGCCACGGCCCCTCCCAGCTAGACTCAAATCTAGCCGTGCTACTGCAGACCAACACGGCCATCCACCTGAAACGATAAGAAACCCTTCTGTACAGTCTCTTCCCCAGTCATTTTTTCACAACTGAAGAATCCCCTTTCTCTGTCAGCTAAATTCAGTTATGTCCCAAATAGATTGAGGTTGCAGGCAGTGTTCCCTCTAAGCCGAGTTAGTCACACAGTTTTTTAGCCTCTGGTTCACACCCTTTTGTCTCGGCTCAGGAAGGCATGGCGCCAGAGCAAGCTAACTGATGCAGATGGCAAATCACCTGCTCACCACTTTAACGCCGGGAGCTCACACAGCAGAATTTCTGCTCACAAGACTCCACAGCTTAGAGGGAGCATTGGTGGCCAGTGAGGCTGTGTAGGCCCAATGTGGGTATCTGTGAGGTAACTGCGCTAGAAAATATTTCAATAAACAATCACAAAATGTGTACAAAAATGTGTACAAAAATCATATAAATGCACAAGGCAGTTGAAAACGGTGTGATGATGGTCTCCGGAATGTTCTATCGTTTCAGTACTATTCTTCTTCCGAAAGTGGATGAAAGCAGCCACTCTTGGTCTGTCATTTCAACAAGTAGGTATCAAAATTTTTATTATTATTCACCGATGTCTCATAACTTAGTTGCAAGAAATTCTCTGAAAGAATGTTCCTAGGGCATTATACAAAGCACTTTGCCCTAGGAACATTCTTTCAGAGAATTTCTTGCAACTAAGTTATGAGACATCAATGAATAATAATGAAATTTTTGATACCTACTTGTTGAAATGACAGACCAAGAGTCCCTGCTTTCATCCACTTTCGGAAGAAGAATAGTACTGAAACGATAGAACATTCCGGAGACCATCGTCACACCATTTTCAACTGCCTTGTGCATTTATATGATTTTTGTACACATTTTTGTATATATTTTGTGATTGTTTATTGAAATATTTTCTAGCGCAGTTACCTCACAGTTTCTTCTTTTTGCGGTCTGTTCTGTGACTGTGACCATCATTTTTGAGCCAATGTGGGTATCACCAGCCGTCGTTTTCAACATATTTCTAGAGCATCGCTGTCCCTTCGTGGAGACTCCAGGGCCTTAACTGGCGTTGTGTTGCCTTCTCAGACTCCTCAGGGGCCGTCGGCAGCTCCGACATCGTGGTCCTCTTGCACGGCTTTCCCACCTCCAGTTACGACTGGTACAAGGTGAGGGGACCTGAGGGGTGTCGTTTTTCTCAGCGGGGGCCCCCGGTTCCTCGCCCGAGGGCTAGCTTCCCTTTTCGTTGTTCCCCTCCCTCTACAGATCTGGGAAGGGCTGACCGAGCGATTTCACAGAGTGATCGCGCTAGATTTCGTCGGCTTCGGCTTCAGTGACAAACCGGTACGTAAGCCCTGGAAGAGACGGAGTGCCTTCGAACAAAGAGAACCCGGGTTATATGAGAAGAGCCCTGCTGGATCAGACCAGTGAGGGTCCACCTAGTCCAGCCTCCTGCCTCACACACTGGCCAACCAGTTCCTCTGGAGGGCCAGCAACAGGGCAGAGAGGTTGAGGCCTTCATGAGAACATCAGAAGAGCCCTGCTGGAATAGACCAGGGGTCCATCTAGTCCAGCATCCTGCCTCACAAAGTGGCCAGCCAGTTCCTCTGGAGGGCCAACAACAGGGCAGGGAGGCCGAGGCCTTCATAAGAACCTCAGAAGAGCCCTGCTGGATCAGACCAGTGAGGGTCCACCTAGTCCAGCCTCCTGCCTCACACACTGGCCAACCAGTTCCTCCGGAGAGCCAACAACGGGGCATGGAGGCCGAGGCCTTCATAAGAACCTCAGAAGAGCCCTGCTGGATCAGACCAGTGAGGGTCCATCTAGTCCAGCATCCCGTCTCACACAGGGGCCAGCCAGTTCCTCTGGAAGGCCAACAACAGGGCATAGAGGCCGAGACCTTCATGAGAACATCTAGTTTCTCTGGAGGGCCAACTAGTTTCTCTGGAGGGCCAACGACAGGGCAGAGAGGCCTTCATAAGATAATCAGAATAGCCCTGTTGGATCAGACCAGTGAGGGTCCATCTAGTCCAACATCCTGTCTCAGACAGTGGCCATCTAGTTCCTCTGGAGGGTCAACTGCAGGTCAGGGAGGCTGAAGCCTTCATAAGAACATCTGAAGAGCTCTGCTGGATCAGACCAGTGATCCATCCAGTCCAGCCTCCTGTCTCACACAGTGGCCAACTAGTTCCTCTAAATGGCCAACAACAGGGTCCAGAGGCTGAGGTCTTCATAAGAACGTTGGAAGAGCCCTGCTGGATCAGACCAGTGAGGGTCCATCTAACCCAGCCTCCTGTCTCACACAGGGGCCAACCAGCTCCTCTGGGGGAGGGGGGGCAACATCAGGGCACTGAGGCTGAGCCCTTTCCCAAAAGTTGCCTCCTGGCTCTCGGATTCAGAGGTTCGCTGCCTCTGGATGTGGAGGTTCCCTTTAGCATATCTGGAGAAATCAGCCACTGAGTGTGCTCGTCTGTTGTGTGTGATGCCCGGGTTGGTGTTCGCGCTGCAGTTGTCTCCTCCCTGGGCTTACCCCACAGAGGCCGCATCGATACTCCATCTTTGAGCAAGCCAGCATCGTGGAAAGGCTGCTGAACCACTTGGGCCTCCAGAACCAGCGGGTCAACCTTCTGTCCCACGACTACGGGGACACCGTGGCCCAAGAACTGCTTCACAGGTGAGACCGGGAGTGCGGGAAAGTTCTGAATCTCCTTTTTCGAAAGTGAATTGAAATCTAAAATGCCCAAGACTTGAAGGAAACACAATATACACGGAGTGGTAAACTCAGGGGTCATTTCGTAGAAAAAGAGGTGCAGGGGCTCATTAGCACAACTCATTAGCATAACTCATTTGCATATGCCACACCCCCTGACATCACCAGAAGTGTGTCAGAAGGGAACACCCACCGCTCAGGCTCCACTGGACTGTTTTGGATTGCTAGCTATTGGGGGGGGGGACGTGCAGATCTGCCCTCGCAGAGGAGGGAGAGCTTGTACCTGAATAAAACTTGGTCTTAAACTTGCCACTGGACTGTTGGATTGCTAGCTGGGGGGACGGGGACGTGCAGATCTGTCCTCACAGAGGAGGGAGAACTTGTCACTGAATAAAGCTTGGTCTTAAAGGTGCCACTGGACTCTTTTGGATTGCTAGCTATGGGGGGGAATGCGCAGATCTGCCCTCAGAGGAGGGAGAGCTTGTACCTGAATAAAACATGGTCTTAAGGGTGCCACTGGACTCTTTTGGATTGCTAGCTATGGGGGGGAATGCGCAGATCTGCCCTCAGAGGAGGGAGAGCTTGTACCTGAATAAAACATGGTCTTAAAGGTTGCACTTGACTGTTTGGGATTGCTAGCTATTGTGTGTGTGGGGGGGGAATGTGCAGATCTGCCCTTGCAGAGGAGGGAGAGCTTGTACCTGAATAAAACTTGGTCTTAAGGGTGCCAATGGACTGTTTTAGATTGCTAGCTATGGGGGGGAACGCGCAGATCTGCCCTCACAGAGGAGGGAGAGCTTGTACCTGAATAAAACTTGGTCTTAAAGGTGCCACTGGACTGTTTTGGATTGCTAGCTCACAGAGGAGGGAGAGCTTGTACCTGAAGGCGAGCCGGGGG